GTGGTCTAACTAGTTGGTCTACTAAAAGGTGCCTTGTCTAGATGATTCAAATAAAAAACTAAATTTGATAAAAGAAACTAATCAAAAGCAATGTTTGATTAGTTTTAGCCAGTCTAACCTACCAGTTTCAACTAGTTCAAAACATGAAACAAAAGTTGACAATTTTTTTATTACATATTTTTAAACTATTATTATTTTTATACACATTTTTAAACAAGTCAATTTGGTTCAAACGACGATTTTGATTGGACACTGCCTTTGCTAATTCATATTGGAAATTTGGTGGGCGAAATGGGGGCAGACAACGGTATAATTTGCAAAATATAATCTCAAAGTCTTCTTGTTTTTGGATCTCAATATGATATTTGCCCCCTTCGATTGAGTATTTGTTGTGCATAAGAAAGGCAATTCATCCTCGAAATACAGGAAAACAGAGAGGTCTTTTTCAATGTTCATAAGCTTTATGCACTCGAGCTTGGAACCAACACAATAGAGATGTCTTTTTCAATGTTCATAAGCTCTATGCACCTGAGCTTGGAACCCACACAATAGACAACGGAGTCTTGACAGTTTAGAGAAAGAAAGAGAGTCAGCCTACTAGTTTGCTTGTTGGAATTGCAAAGAATGGTCTATTGAGATAGACTCACTAATTGCTCTAAGTATCCAAAATCGTATGGGTAGGATGACTCTTATTACAGAGCACCAAGAGGCTGCCCATTTAGTGTTGTGGTGGTTACATTATTATAGAGCACCAAGAGCTTGGAACCCACACAATAAAAAGATCTTTGTCAATATTTCTAAGCTCTATGTACCCGAGCTTAGAACCCATACAATAGTCACCAGAGTTTTGATAGTTTAGAGAGAGAAAGAGAGTCAGCTCACTGGTTTGCTTGCTATAATTGCAGAGAATAGTCTAATGAGATTGACTCAATAATTGTTTTAAGTATCCAAAATCATGTGGGTAGACGGGATCTTATTATAGAGCAACAAGAGGCTGCCCATTTAGTGTTGTGGTGCCCATTTAATGTTGTGGTGTGTTGTGGTGGTTACATTATTATAGAGCACCAAGAGGTGTTGTGGTCGTTACATTATTATCGAGCACGTGTTGTGGTGGTTACATTATTATAGAGCACCAAGAGGCTGACCATTTAGTGTTGTGGTGGTTACATGAGTTACATGCACTCCTACAGCTAGAAGTTACATGCACCTCAATAGCTACAAAGGTCCATGAGTTACATGCAACCCCCCCCCAACAGCTACAAGTTACATGAGGTACATGCACCCCTACATGAGTTACATGCAGTCCTACAGCTACAAGTTACATGCACCCCCCCCCCCCCCCAACCCCAACAGCTACAAGTTACATGAGGTACATGCACCCCAATAGCTAGCCACAAGCCTAACCCGCACATGTGTTGGACAAGGCATGAGCTACAATGGCGAGTATACCCCCGCACACGTAGGCACGAGCCACAATATCGAGTATACCCGCACACGTATTTGGTACATGAATTACATGCACTCTCAATGTGTTGGACGAGGCCCGAGCCACAATTGAGAGTATACCCGCACACGTATTTGGACGACGAGACTCAATAATTGCTAGCCACGAGCCTAACCCGCACCATGTTTGGGCGAGGTTCAATAATTGTTCTGTCCATTGTATTTAGAGTATATTCAATCTCTTTCCATTGTATTTGGAGTATATTCAATCTCTCTCCATTGTACTTAGAGTATGTTCTGTGGAATACGTGCTCTTAAATGTAACTCAAAAACCTCTCCCCTTTTCAATACGGGACTCAAACCTACATATTGCTCTCTTTATAAAGCAATTCACGAAATAACAATAAAACCAAAAGCAAAACAATTTAGGAAAGAATAATCTATAGGGTTATACAATTCAATGGCAAATCTCGTATCTTTTTAAAAGCACTGTATGCTGCACCTTAAGTGATCACGAAGGAAACAATGGATGTTCCCCCCATTTCCCAACCACATGCTCCCACCACAAGGACATGGCATGTTTTCCCTGAAAACTACTAAAATTTATATACGTAATACAACCCTCTATATATGTCAATCATCAGTTCTTTTCTCTTCATCGTCTTTCTCACCATTTGATGTTAAAATCTACTTAAATATTCTTGATCATGTATCACATATCAAAAAAAATAAAATCTAGGTCATGTACCAAATTTGTCCGTTTATGGAGGGTATCTTAAGATATTTCTACAAATTAGGTTGTCAGGACACTCCTAAATAGAATGTCTAATTTTTGAAGAATCAAAATATGTTTTTTATATCTTTGACACTTGTAAAAAAAAGCAAGGTGTAACAAAAAAGGGTTGGGGGTGGGGTGTAACACATCCCATACATCAGTTCTACGTAGTGGTTTTTATTCTTACTAATACCTTCAAGAACCTCTGATCATTTAAAAAATAGGCAGTAGCTTGCATTCTCCATCGAAATACCTAAAAAGAAAAAAAAGAAAAGAAGAAGGTCAATTCAGGTCTCATACTTTAGGTTTTTAACTAGAGATGCACCACAGTCTAAGATTTTAGATATTCTTTATTACATTTTTTTTTAAAGAAATAGATTTTAAATTTAAAAAACATAAGATTTTAAATATAGTTTGTTTTACATGTTTTTAAATTGTTTTTTAATTCTTTTAAATAATTTACTTCAAAGGTTATATAACCATCTCTAAAATGATTTTTGGAGGAGATCATAGTTGAATAAGATTGAAACTCTTCACTTGATCTGTTTTTTCTGAAGATTTTACGCCCTATTTTCTTTTTTGAGTACAACGGCGGCTTCAACATGATAGCTTATAAGCTCCTATCATACAGAAACTCCCAAAAAACACAATAAACTTGTGGCTCTTAGGCTTCTTCCTGTATTTTATATTTCCATTTAGGACCACTTATCCATGTTCTTAGGGGTCCTTTTGACATTGAAAATAACCAAACAGGTCAGGCATATTGCTCGTAATATGAACGATTGGTCTTCCTGTAGCAGCATAGTGTGCATTTGCTCCCTTGTGTAAAACTTAGGTTAAGGAATAGTTTATAGACCCCAAATTTTTTGGATATTGCCTCTAGAGCTTAATAACCAACCCCAAGTTAAAAACAATAATATATATACATATATATATGATTCTCTATTTACCTCAAAAAAAAAAAAATTGATATCCCAATATTGAATAAGAACGGTTCAATTTCCAGAGGGAAGATCTAGGTGTTCAAGAACTGAAAATCTAAATTTGTTCTCTTGAAAATAATCATCTAATGATATTTAGATGACTGCCAAGATTTTGGATTGAAAAACAATATTAAATTACTAACTTTCCCAAGGGAGTTGTTGTACAGTATACTACTGCAGGAACATACTACACACGCTATTATAATTCTCCTCCCCCAAATGAAATCTGTAGCCATGAAGGCCATCCCCCAACACCAAAGGCGTTAGACAGGGCGGATCTCACCGGATCGGAGAGAGGGAAAGAAGTGACATCTCTACCCATTTTTTATCCAAGTTGTAGGGAAAGAGATTGCAGATTTACTCCTTTCTTGTTGATTTTTAGAGGGAGAGAACTCATTTGCCTAACATTTCTTTTGCAAAAGTTCAATCAGATTTTCTAGATTCAAAACTCTAAATTAGAACTTTAAAACGTCCATTCAAAATCGAGCAAGTCAAATGGTGAACCGGGTGATCGGGATCACCCAATCTAGCGATTCCCCACCTATATTATTTTATTATTTTTAATTTTATTTCCAAAATAAAAATATTATTATTATTTATATCGTTCTCTCATAGGAAAACAATCGAGTCTGCCCAATCCAAACCCAAACCAGATTTCTAACAGGTCAATTCACCGAGCCGATCTAGTTTTCAAAAAACCGGTCCTCAATTAATTCGGGCTTTAGAAAGTGGTAAGAGGCAAATCATCGGCGGCTCGTAGGTAAACCATGACTGGGATGTGGTTTTGTGAAAAACAAGCTATCCATAGTCTCTCCATTCTCGAAAGCGACAAGTCAACGCCTTCATGTGGGTTTTATTACTATTATTGCCCTCCTATTTATCCAATGGTAGCCTTCTCATCCAAAAGTATTTATAACAAGTCTTAAACCTTCTATTATTGCGGCAAAACATTTTAGGGTTGATCGGGTAATCTCAACCTTGACAATGATCTAAATTTATAATACTTTTGAAATATAAATATCAATTTTTGAATTCTTTTTTCCCACCACCTATTTATTTTGTGAGATTTGGTAGAGGAGGGACTGCAGAATAATAAGTGAGTCGGCCGACGCACCTAAACCCTGTCAGTGAATCGTAACCCATGTTCATGCACGAGAGTACGATCGCACGAGACGGTACAAAAGTGGTCCCAATAAATGCCCGTCGCACCGAACTTTCAGTTCGGGGGGGGCGGATGTTGACACGTGTAGGAAGCTGGGAAAGCATAGTGGACGATCGCCCACAAGGCCCTGCCTGCATGGCCCCCTAATTGCCGTCACGTGCGTGTCACCGTGCTCGCCAACCCGGAACCAAATGAAATAAAATTGTAGGACACTCCCTTGCTTCTCACTCTTGTTGTACAAATTTTAGTGGGTCAGACTCAAACTCAACCTCATCTACCTCCACGTACGTGACTTGGCGAATTGGGCTAGGTTTAAATGATTTTGATCTACATAACGCTATTAAGGTCGGCTTGAAATATATATAAAAAAAAAATATTATCAGCGAAGAGTACAAAAAAAAATTAAAGAGTTAAGATCTTCTCCGTAGCACTTTTCAAGAATCACGATTAAAATTGACACTAATCTTTAGAAAAATTTGATCGTAAAATTTGATTTTTTTACACACCGGTGCCAAATTTAACAGGAACCCTATGGAAGTGGGGGAGGCCCTGTATGATCATTTCTCAAAAATAAATACTATATAAAAATTAACTTTTTTTAATTAATCCTTTTCTCTCCCTCTCCAATAAAACCCTTCTCCCTCTCGTCCCCCTTCTCCGCTCTTCTTTACGGGAGAGGTGCTTTTCGTTATTTAGAGGGGTTTTGGACGTGTAATATAATACGACTCAGACGGCGTCTCTCTGTCTCCCTCTACAAACCGAGAACGCCTGCCTTTCTTTTCTCTCACTGAGCCATGAAGGCGATTCTCTTGAGAAGTGTATCCGCACCCACACTACCTTCTCTATCTCCATTCCCCGACCAAGATCCCCGTGCCGGATTACTTTCTCCGGCTAAGTTTCCTGCGGTTTCTCCTCACGCTGCCCTACATTTCGAGATAAAAGAGAGAGACGCTGGCTCTCTCAAGTTCAGGCGAGCTCGGTCGGAAACCGACCTTTTCAGGTCGGGAAATCGACATTCCAGCCATAATTTACGGAGCATTCGGTCCGTGTCTTTTCCAGCAAGAATAGCAGAGGAACATGGGGGTCTCCAGGAGGATATGGAGAAAAACGGTTCCGTTAATGGTGAGGTTGATGAAGGAGGGGGGAAATTAGTGGGTTTTGGATTTGCAGATGGTTTTGATGCCGGTGAAATGGCCGGGCAATCGGGGCTTTTGCCAGAGAATGGATATTCAGGTGGGGATATTGGGAAAGGGATAAAGATTGGTGGGGGAAATGGCGGTGGAAGAGGAGATATCAAGTCATTTACAGGAGGTGGAGCTGATCAGAATAGAATGGGTGTGTATTATAAGGAGATGTTGAAGGCTAACCCTAACAATCCTCTGCTTCTGATGAACTATGGCAGATACTTGCACGAGGTGTGTTTCTCTCTCTCTTCAATTATTTATCAAAAATACTGTAATTGAAGTTAGCAGTAATTTTTTTTGCTGTTCTCTATCTCTCAATCCATCATGTCATGGACATGACTCTGTTCTTACACTTGGGATCTTTAAGTTTGATTTTTTTATTTTCCCTCTCCTTTTGGTTTTGCTTTGAGATATTTGTTTTCTTCTTTTCCTTTGTATTCCTTTCTTGCTACTTTATCAAAGTATCTCTGTTTCGTGAATCTGTTTTTCTTTCAATCTTCTTTGAATCTTTGTGTCTAAACTCAAAATAAGTATCTGGTTTTTCTTCTGCAGAGAGAAAATTCTCTTCCAGTTTTTCCTTTTTTTCGACTTAAAAATTAATATTACTGAAGAGGCACACAGCTCAAATTACTATGATGTCCTTTCTGGACTATCAGAATTATGACTATGACAAGACTAAAATGGTGCATCCTGATAAGAAATTGAAAGAACAAAATTCGTATAAATTTAGTATTCAATCTTTATGAATGCGATTCGAATGTACTTCTACGGCCAAACAATGATCGACTATGAAATAGTTGGAGATAGGCTTCTTGATAAGAAAGAGAATGGCAGGCTTGGCAATTTAACAAAAAAATTCAATTTTGGAAGTCGACCACGTAATTCGGGAAAATGGTTTCGCTGGATTAAGTACGAGTTGCTATGGATACAGGTGGAGAAGAATACAGCGAAAGCAGAAGAATATTATGGTAGGGCGATATTAGCAAATCCAGGAGATGGAGAAGTTCTTTCCCTTTATGCCAAGTTAATATGGGAGACTCAGAGAGATGAGACGAGAGCACAGACTTACTTCGATCAAGCCATTAGAACTGCACCTGATGACTGGTAACCAGCTACATTAACACTCCTCGATAACCCATTTAGTTTATTCTTTTGGAATGCATAACCCACTTTTTTCTTTTTTCTCTTTCCCCTTCTTTTCTTGTTGTTGGGATCTAAGCGATGTTTTAAAAATCGATGAGTCGGCTTGGAATTGATATGGGGACGATCCAGTTCCACCATGGAATCTGGAGTTGCCCCTGTTTTTTAAGAATTCGCCTGGTAAAATGGACCCTGCACTTTTGAGTAAAGGAAACAGTGAAAAAGAGAAAATGGGATCTGCATCAACCAAAATTTGTTCTCGATCCGGGTTTTGATTTGAAGAAATGTCATGAAAAATTGATCTGGGTTTTGATTTTGAAGGAATAATATGAATCTGAATAGAGAAACCAAACAAGTGTAGACTCAAATGGGTTTTCCTTCTTTGTATTGAATTAGAGAAAAGGTCTTTATATCACCAAACCTCTGTATCTTTATTGCGAAATGTGCAGTTATGTGCTTGGTTCATATGCTCACTTCTTGTGGAATGCTGGGGAGGAAGAAGAAGAAGATAACGAGGAAGCGGCTCGGCCCCGGCCTCAGTTACAGCCTTCTAAGAAACTCATATAACCACTGATATGAAGGCGTTTGGCGCTCTTAACTACAACTGCTCATGGCGATCATCTCTCTCTTTCCAATGTAGAATACTAACGTGGCCTGAGGGACAGTAGTTGAGCGCAGAAGTTGCATGGGTTTAAGTTTAAGTTAGTAGTGAGGATACTAATTACTGTTTATGACTACTGATGAGGAAGATGATGTTAATATTTAACCAGTCTTATAATAAGTGACCTGCAAAGGTGTTTCTCATGTACGGCTTCTAAGCAATGGCTATTATTTCTCCTCCATTTTTTTTTTTTTTTTTTTTTTTTTTTTTTTTTTTTTTTAACCAGACTTATAATAAGTGACCTGCAAAGGTGTTTTCAATTTACAGCTTCTAAGCAATGGCTATTATTTCTTCTCCTCCTTATAATAAGTGACCTTCACCCGGTTGATCCAGTTTTTAAAACACTACTTTTTAGTATGGAGACATTATAAAATAGCAACTCTTTTTGTAAGTTCAACAACATCGAAATCTCAAAACCACATTTACAAAAGGGAAAAGTTTATCTAGAGCCTTGGCTCTAAACAATCAAATTAGATCCCACATCAAAAATTCCACTAGAAGAAGTTGTTTTGATCTTCAAATATCCTCAAATTGATCATCTCAACATCAATATGCATGGACATGAGAAAAAAATGGATTTCAAGTTTTGGAAATAATGTATTTTGTAATGTATTTTTAAACCGTCAATTTTCAAGATTTTATAGATCTGTCAATCTACACTATTTTTAAAGTTTTAAATTTTGAAGCAATCATAAGAACTTCCAATATTGAAACCACATTTTTTGACATTATTTGCTGGTAGGCTGTAATTTGATTGTTTAGAGCCTAAGCTCTATAAAAACGGCACCTTTTACAAAAAAAGAGCAAGCCCGTGGGGTCGCACCTGATATGCCCTTTTCCTGGAAGGCATCACGAACCCAAAAGCTTTAACATCTCTGCACCTATATTGAAATCAAATATGAATCATCAATTGTACTTTATAAAGCTCCAAAACTCCTTATTATCCCTCTAGGGGTGGAGAACCATTTCAGATGTTTTAAAACTATTTTGGGCTCCTGAATCTATAAAAAACAGAATGGACTTCGACGTTAGATTGCAGAGGTTTACGGTGCGTCTGCGGCTGCAAACCCTTACAAGATGATACTTAGCTGGAAAGAACAATGGCTGAAGTTTCTATAGCGCTAGGCTTTATAAAACGAAATAAAGCCTCAACTCAAATCCTCGTATAGAAAACACTTTTGGCAATGAAAATCTCCACGATGATTTTAAAATCAATTTTCAACACCGACAATAAAATTTAAAACTAAAAAATGGTATAAAATCTTTAAAAAATTATTTTTCAGGTAAAATGGATAGTCTATATAATTTATTATAATGTATGCTATTTTTAGAGCTTGAAATCTTAATTTTTTTCACAACTATAATGTTCAAGCCAAGATGAACGATGTTACGGTTTTCCAATGCTTGAATTGCAATTTCGATGAGTTATGAGGTGAGGTTTTACTTATTATGATAGGTTGCAACCCTATCAAACTATATTCCCTTCTCCTTCCAATAATGATAAGAGTGTAAGCGGAAAGAGTGGTACGTAAAAACAAATTGGCCAAAATCATTAAGATCAGGAATGAATGTTTGCATCACAAGCAAACAAATTATGTAAATATCTTGCAAAGGAAAAGACGTAAACCCCCTACGCATATCAAAACTTAATAGTCCCATACACACCCTACCCGTATCTAAGCTTATTGTACCATATACACTCTGGGGCCTATGAATAGCCAAGGAGCCCATCCGAATTTTTTTTAAAAAAAGTCAGATTACTCCCTGACCTCATTTTTTACTTTTCCTTCCCCTAAATTATGATTTTTATTTTCACTTATCTCCCCCACAATTCAAATCCCTTCATCTTTTAATACCTTTGTCTCTCTCTCATTAACTTGCCCTCCCTCTCTCTCTCTTCCTCATGAACTTTTGATCCACTACCTTTTCTCTCTCTACCCATGAGAGCGTGGGGGAATGAGAGAAGGGAGGAAAGGTTCACAAGGAAGAGGGAGAAAGGTAGGGAAGACTTATGGGGTAGAGAGAGGGAAGGGTCAGAGAGAGAAAGGGAAATATAACACTTAAAAGACGAGAAAAGGATTTGGCCTATGAGGGGAATAAATGAAAATAAAAGGGTAATTTGGAAAAAGAAATTGCCAAAAGAGGGCTTAGGGGGTTCTAACTTGTACGACCCAAGGATATATAAGGGGCCACAAGTTTAGATGGGGGCTTTATGTTTTCTCCCCAAAAAAAAAAAATGGAGGAAAAAAAAAACTCACACAAGGTACAATATAGGGGTGCAACTGGGCTGACCCAGCCAACCTGGCAATCAAGGCCTAGCCCGTCACGGACCGAATCTGAACCATCATAGGGCCTGTCAGGTCAGGCGTTAGTTTCAGGCCCATTGGCTTAACGAGTGGGGCCTTTGTATAAGGTCGGCCCAATGGTCCCTAATTATATAGCGTTCTAGTTCAAAATGGTGTACACAGGACATGCAGAGTGACTGGCCCTGAAGACTGCCTGGCCTGCATATGAAGATCGGCCACTGCAATCAAGACCCGTTAACTTTATCGGTTTATAACAGTCGTACGCGCCTTGTGCTTTTAAGCTTGTTACTTGGGTCATGGAGAGTGTAAAATTTGGGAACAAAAAAATCCCCTTGATGAACCCTTCAAGGAATTTTTGGACCGTGAGAAAAACTAGGGACATCAGCTCACCTCACCTCAAATAAGAAGTTCAAGATATACTATATCATGAGTAGTGATCATATTTTGCTTTTGCTTGGTTGCTACCAGTACAAGCCATAACTTGAACATGCACAAGCTTGACTCAACAACCCCACAACCAAGGGATGGCCCCTACAAAAACAGCCTTTAGAAAGGGGGTTTCTGATGATTTTGAAATCATTTCTACTAGGTAATCTACTATCCTTATGCATGAAGATAATAAATTCGGTCGTTGTGGTCGGACTCTATTATGGATTTATTACCACATTCTCTATCGCCGAGCGTCGTTCACTCCTTCTGAATGAATGAAAGAGGGTCGGCGACTCTTCTTTCTTCATGAATGAAAGAAAAGCTTTACCATTGATCGATCATTGATTCTTCTTGATAGAATCTCGTTACCTAGAAATCTTCAGCCAGAAAGCATGCAAGGGAGAAGCACCCGCAGGAGCAAAAGGTCGGGCCAACCTGTCTGTAGGAAGCAAACTGGCCAAACACTTTTGGGATGCTAATATCCCTCCAAAGCATTCATCCTACATGAGTTTGGAGGACATTTTCAGAAATTGGAATTCTTTGCGCTTTCAAATTTTAAAATAAGAGCATTTAGGTCATCTTATATTTAACTTCTAATAAGATATCCAACAAAATCCACGTTCATAGTAATCACCCTGATCTAGTAACTAATTTTGCAATACAATTTGTATTAAGATTTTTTTTCCCCTCAAAGCAAATATTAGCGCTCCTTTGGGATTTTAGTATTGCCGACGAAAAATTGAGTGATTATCATTTTTGTATATAGTACCGGCATCCATGAAGGATATAAGTCTGATTTGATAGGATATCTATTTCACAAGATCTGTTCTGAGAGGTACTATTGTACTAAAAAATATAGACATAATAATGTTACAGTTTCTAATATGGAGAATCAGAGGATCTGATCTGAGAGGTACAATTGTACTAGAAAATATAGAGATATAATGCTAAGTTTCTAATATGGAGAATCAGAAGGGAGATGGTATTAAAAGAAGGAAAGCTTCACGGACTAGAGTAAAAAACCCAAAAGCACAAAATAAAAATAAAATAAATAAGGCACCCAAAAAGAGGTGCACAAGATTTTCTTTACAGCATGCAAAAGCTCACGACCAACTGGTGGAACCATCCAAGCTTAAATGCAGAAAATCAACAGCCATGTGCTGATACAGCAAAGCGAATCATTCAACCTCAAAATCTTGCAAAAATAATGATAATCACCACAAGAGCACATTGCTCTTCAGTAAAAGTTGTTCACGAACCCCACTCTCCCCAAACGAAAAGAAAAGAAACCAACTTTCTTAACTAGGTAGACAAGAGATTGTCCTCACTTTTTCCGTAAGCCCATGAATCAATGAAACTGAATTATTAAGGCAAAGTATCTTACAAATTGGCGTTTAATCAAAGTGAGGAGGCTAGTAGCTGATTGAGAGCCCTTCTCAAAGAGCCAGGTTATTGCACACGAAGTAGATCCCCTAAGAGAAAGGAATTTATTGCAAGGTAAGCAACTGAAAAGCATTTTATATTGTTTAAGTCAGCATAAAACACCAGTTGATCAAAAATGTCGATGTCAAAGTGCCAAAGTGGGGAGCATAACCAAATTTGAATCTCAACATACCAGCGCAATCTATATATATATAGGGTGCAGTTGGCATACGGATGCATCCGTAGTTGTAGAGGTAAGGTGCACCTTCAAATTTTATCATGGTATATAATTTTGATGCACAATGTTCTTAGGATTATCTCAAGATTTATTTTTATATCTAATAAAATTTTAAATTTCAAAAATGGTTAAAATCAAGTAGATCTATAAACATATGAAAATCTTGAAAATAGACGGTGTAGATAATATGTTGTAAAATGCACTATTTCTGAGACTTAATCTTTTTATTTTTCATGGTCATACATCTCGATGTCGAGATGATCAATCAAAATGTTTTTCAACATTAAAACTATCTTTTCCGATGGAGTTTGGAG